TTTCTAAAAATTGTATGATATATATTATGTATTTCACGAAGCATTTAATATAGAAATGTAATAAGAGATAAGCTTGCTATCATTCATCACTCGTGAGTAATAGTATCTAGCGTAATAAGTGCTTAAAACAATATCTTTTAGAATAATTATAAAATAAAATAAAATATTCTTTTTATGTTATTAAACATTAAACTTTAATTGCGCTAAATACTATTATTCGCGATGATTGTAAGCTCAGATTAGCGCCGATAAATTATTATATTTCTATGTACGATGTTTAATGAGTTAAAAATATATTTATCGTATAATTTTCATAAAATATTGTATTTTAATTGATAAATTATTTAGTATCAGTATTCATTGTGCTAGACATCATTCATATTGAATCCCGTAAGTCTTAATTATATATGTTTAATAAATTATATATTTATTATATGAAACATTGTGTCTGAATGAAAAAATTATTGATATTATTATTACGCTCATCGATTACGCTCGGTGTGCTATCATTCATGAATACTGCCAGTTTTAATCAATGTTCCCCATGCGATGTGTGCGTATGGCATTTCTTTGATTTATCGTTTGAATCTCCCCGATTTGAAGTCGCGTTGACCGAATGGCAAAGCCGGTCAAGGTATGTTCTTTCTGATGAATGAACGAATGGATAAACAGTAGCGGGGGATGGTAAAAGAAGACACGGACTTGCGCCCCCCACATCCGAAGTCAGTGCGACCGATGGTAGTGGGGACCGCGGATGAGGGATGAGGGTGGGTGAGGTGGGTTCGGGTTTAATTGCACTGCATCACAGAACGTAGTATTCCCGTACTACGTGCTGATGGGGGTGTAACGTAGCCGCGACCACCGCCGCATCGACGTTTGTATGTAAGCCGCATGTTCGTTCAGATCGACGTGTGCGTACGCGGCCGACCACTGACGTACCTGTTTCACTGCGCCGTATGCGTACGCGACCGACTAGCGATGTGCCTGTTCCACGGCGCGGTCAGACGTGAGGATCAGATGATGACGGGATCGGATCTTGCGATCGGTCTTGCAATTTATCTGCCTGAAATAAGCAAGAAGACAATTGTTAATATAAGGAATCATCCTATTCTTGGCTGCACAAGCAGTATTAATTATTTATACGATTAGATGAGCAAGTAATAGAAAATAAAATAAAATATCTGCATACGATTTTAGCTTTGAAATTTTTTTAATCTTCTTTGACAAAAGAAGTCTTTGACTATTCAGAAAACTGTAGGAACGTTTTAGATAATTAGAGATCCAAACATATGATTTTAATACAAATAATCATCTCACTCCGTCTTTCTTTTTCTCTACGCGTGAATGATAAAATTAAAAAAAAATCGTTAATGAGTAGTGAATAAACTGCATTCAGTTGCAAAAATTTTATCTATTTATTTGTAATTATAAATGCTTGTATATATAAAAATTTATATTTAAAATATAATTTGTATCTTAGCAAGATAAAAGCTTGATTTAAATCTATAATAATGATAAAACTTATCAGCTTTTATAGATGTTTATCCAATTAAGAGAAATTTCTCGATATCTTACTGTATCTGTGCATGTCGTGTAACATGCGTAAGTAGGTGCAGTGACAGCCGTAGTACATGCTCGCGTGTCAACCGTCGTAACTGTTAGAGTAGATCAAGGGTTTCTAAGTGGACGAGGTTGCGAGTGGAAGAAAGGAATTGAAAAAAAAAGTGAATGCCGTCCGCCGTTCATTCAAATGTTGTTCAATCGCAGCACCGTAAATGAACTGTATAATTACTTTTCTGCGGCGACTGTAAAAAAATACAATAAACAATCATTATTAATATGCGATATAAAACAAAAATAATAATATAAGAAGTAAAAAATAATTTAAGAAGATAAAATTATGCCGACTCTTTTTGCTTTTTAATTCCCTTTAAAAAATTAAATATTAGATTCCAATAAAATAAGATTGCTATTTAATTCTCTTGTTTCATGCAGAAGTGATCTGAAAATATGTTTGTAATGGTCATAATTATTATTTTATTTTGACGATAATTATATAATATGCGACACACGCACACGTACACACACATATGTAAATATGACATTTCATTTAAAGTAACGTAAGTATCTAATTAGAGATCCATTAGCAGCGATAAAATTCGCAATCTAGAACGCATTTTTATCGTTTTAACAAGCATGATGGATGTGTTGCGAGAATCCGATGGGTTTAATCCATCGTCGATCGTGCTAAAAAATTTAATCCGCTGGTCGCTACGCTCCGTCCTAAAATTTATGAGCTGACAGTCGGACTCCTGCTTCGTCGAGGAAGAATCGACGTGACGTCTTCCGTGCCGAGTGTTTTTGACATGAGGTGGTCGCCCTAATCGATCCCGTTGAAATAGTCGAATCGGAAGTAGGCGCATTCGTCGCGACGAGGGAGAAGCGGGAGTTCCTGACTTAAGGCTAGATCTCTTAAGCCGCCAATCACTTTTAAGAGGGATCACTTAATTCCGAGCGTAAAATGTATCTGAATGAGATATTCTTTTTGTACAAAAATAAATGGTGAAAGAAGTGAATTTCTTGACTGAGATAATGGATTAATTATTTTTTCTCATGTGTAAATTTTTTTTGTATTATAATTAAAGTATAATTGTTCAATTTTATTTTCATTACTTCTCTCTCATTCAAGACACAGTCGTTCAAAGTTGAAATTGGGTTCTTACAACAATAACAAAAGATTGATTAACTTTCCCACTCCATTAATCGGCGACAAATGATTTGGCATATGTAATGAAAGCAAACATCATTTCGCAAAAGCAAACATCATCAACTCGTGAATACAAATAAACTGCTTAATGATGTTGCAAATTAATATTAGCCGATCATTTGTTCAATGTATGTGTGTGCGTGTCATTGTTATTACACTCCCTATATTTATCGACTATATAATTATACGGACAAATAAAGACTCTTTTGATGTCCAATCGATCAACTTAATTATAAATCAATAAGAGCGACAAAATTAATGGTGCGAGTTAATTTTTAGTACTCTCAAAACTCAATCTCAGATCGTAAACTAACGAAACGTTTTTTCGATTCAGTTTCTTCAAAGAAATGCGAGAAATGTCAAATAAAATTTCAAGTACTTATATTAATTACCTGCAAAATTTAAAAGGATAAATCCGATAGAAAAATATATCGACTCGTGAGTAAATTTAATTATATATTCGTGAATGTATTAATTATACATAAATTATATTAAAATATTATCACTAAAATTATTTAACTAATATTAGCAGGATGCATAAAGATTCAATTTTAATGTTTTAAATTGAAGTAATTAATTACAAAAGAAAAAATCATGAAATATTGCGTGTGTGATCGCTCAAAAAATGTTCACCGAATAAATAATATCAGAAGAATTTATGAGAATGTCATAAATAGTCATACGTGATATTCGTCAACTGTTTTGTGTGAATACACATGCAAATCGTATGCTTCATTAGCATGTCTACTCAAATATCTGTTCCACCCGCATCACGTTCGAATTTCGCAATGTTTTGCTGTGAAATTGATATATCCTTTGAAATGTAATAAGAGTCATCAATCTCGACAAGCAATGCCTACATGTATATTCACGATGAAACAAAATCTCACGCAACTTTGTTCTTGTTGTGAAAAAATACGGTTGTCGGCAGAAATACGAATAATGCAATTATCCATAATTATATTTTACATGTAACTGCAGGATCTTGTTCATTTCTATTTTAAATATATAGACTTGTCATAATGTTTTTTATGAATTTTATTTAATCAGATGTTTTGGCATTACGCATATCTGCATATACACTATACTCAAGTCACTACAATCAATATTTTCATATATTTTATACATTAAAAAGTAAACTTCGTAAATATTTATGGATTTAATCTACTTTACCACACGTATTTGCATATACAAATCACTATAATTAGTAATTTCATGTATTTTACATATTCAAGAAAAAGGAGAAAAAGTGGACCTCGTAAATGTTTATAAACTTGATCCACTTTTGCTTCCGATCGCTCGTATTGCTTTTTAAAAAATGCATTTTTTTCGGAAATACAGTCTTTTATGTTGTAACTTCTCGCGCAAGTTCGAATTTTAAGCTAGTCTAGTTAGAAAGACGTCAGTTCGGGTGAAAACTTTGAACACTACGCCGTCGGATCTGTTCGGCAGTCCTTAAAGTTTCCTTAAGCATCCACTTTGGTAGTAGACGGCCACTTAGTGTGTTCTTGTAATCAGTATGCAATAATCGACACCGTGCAGTAATGCCTTCCTTCGAAGAAGGTGACGAAAATTTTAAGTCGTCCTGCGTGAAGAGCTTAAGATACTGTTTGGTCGTTGGTACAGTTTATTTTAAATTTCATTTTGTTACTCAACAGAAAAAGGATGTAAAATGTACAAGGATAAGTCAAAAACTAACCGCAAAGTCGTTATTGAAATATAAGTACTAATTATAAAAATTGAAACAATAGTTCATTCTTCTGCGGGAAATACACTTCTTTCAGCAATTCAAAAGCTT